ACGCCAACCCTCCGCGCGGGGAACCCTGCTCGACGCCGCTCACCCACATGCCTGCCAGCGACCGCAGCATCGGATGAGACCGCGCAGTCGGCAGGGCCTTCATAAACTCCTGAATGGACCACCAGGGAGCCGCACCCAAGCCCCCAGCACGGTCGGTGAACCACATCGCCCACCTCGAAAGGACAAGCGTGATAGAGAAGGCTTGCAGCTGCATGACGCGACTTGAAACCCCCACAACTTCCGTCGGCACCCGAGCCCCGGACAGGCCGTCCTCTGGTAGAGCTTGCACTCGAGGTCGTTCGCCTGGAGGCCCAAGACCGCCCAGGCTGCAGGCGCGCAGAAGCACGGCGCGCGGTGGAGCTCGCCCGCGCCAGCGCGGCATGAGGCGAGGTCAATCGAGGAGCCAAGATGCGCCGCCAGCGCGGCTGCAGATCCTGACCAGCCGGCGCATCTCGCCCTTCAAGAGCTTGCAGGGCCAAAGGGCCGGCTGCGCCATGTAACCCAGCATGGCGGCGGCCCTCGCGCTGCACGGCAACGCATTGACACGCAGAGGCGCAAACGTCGCGGGCAACGCGACCCCTCGAACTTTGAACATGTTCCGAGCCGCTGTCTGGATGCCCATCCGAGACGCAGCGGGCGGGCCCCATCCGGGACCCCAGATGCGAGACCACGTCGGCGACCGCAGAGCCCCCCCACCCAAACACTCGCTGGCCAATAATCTGCCGCAGCTCGGCTTCCTTGGTCGACGCGAACCTGCCCACCAGAAAAAGCAACTCCACACTTAGGAACCTGCAGCTGGAGCGCGGCATGCCGCCCAGCCTTCCGCATCGGTTCTTGTGGGCAACCCAATGACTCAACTGCATATAGAGCACCACGACTGTCGTCAGCACTAGCACGGAAGACGCCCAGGTCGCAGCCTTCGATGGCAACCTCGACGTCGCGGGCGAGAGACGGCAGCAACCGCGCAGTGACAGCCAGACACACCGCACCCTTGGAAGACGCCCCGCGCGATATCACACAGGTAGGCTGCGCTGCCTGCACTTGTTGAAACCGCCGCGACGCACGCACACAGACTCCGAACTGCTTGGAAGAATCCCGACGGGACACCAAGGATCTCCAGGGCGGGCAGCAAGTACTTCCGAGGGCGACCGGGGAAAGCCTGGCCGAAATGCAAGACAACCATGATGGGGCTTGATTGCTAAGAATCAGGTCGACAGCAAGCATCTCGCGCATAGGCATCAAGCCCAATGACACCATCAATGCATTAGCGCCTGGGCACAAGTACCTTTGGGGATGTCGGAGCGACATTCCCGGCGGACTGCCGATCGCGGCGCCGGGAGTGGCGGAGCTGAATTTGACATCGGGGCTGCACGGCCCAAATGTTCGAATCTCCCCAGGCGCGGGAATGACCGAACCACCCCGGGGATCGCCACGATGAGATACCTCGGGGAGAGGACGCCCGCTCGGCGCCACCTGCGGCCCCGAGCAACCTGCCCCACTGATCGCCCGAGGCGCCCCACAGAGTCGCCGCCCAGATGGTCAAGGCAGTCCAAGCGGCAAGGGACGCCGTCCACGAAAGGCACGCTGCGGACCCCCACTGTCTCTCGATGAGGCGCTGCATAACTCCAGGGTCAGGAGGGGGGGATCGCCGAGCACGCGCGGCCTCGAGCAGGGCCTGCAGCACATGGCACTTCGGTAAAGACGGACGCCCAGTGGTTACAAATGGCCTGCAGGTGATCCCCCTGGCGCAGCTGGGCCCCGTCAGAGCCCCGCACCGCTCTCAGGACCGCCTGCCCACGTCTGCGCCCTTCTCTCGGTGGCTGTGATATTGGACTCGGGCCCTTTCTTGCGCTTGCCTCCGATAAGATCGACCTGGATAGCCGAGATGCCCTCCTCAGCGGCATGAATGTGGACCCTTTCCACCCAGACTCGGAAGCTTTCGTGAAGCCTGACTTCTACTCCACCAGCAGAAACTGCCAGGCAGGTTGGCCACCTCCGAGGAAGCGAACGCGATACGAGCAGCCAGCTTGGCGTCGCCTTCTCATATCACATTCGCCACTTGTCTGACTAGAACCAACAAGAGTTGAATGTCACCGACGTCGACTGTCAGCATCTTCTCGATGGTCATGCCGGCGGTTTCCGTTGAAAGCCTCTCGAGCCGAGAAGTACCGAAGATTAGGAGATTTGCGGGCCAGTTCCTCGGCCTCAGTTTTAGCCAAGTGTCCCACACAATCGCAAAGTTGGGCCTTCCGACCACCGCGGGGGGCGGAGGGAGGGGCGAAGTCCTATGTGCCTTCAGACCAAATTTCCTCCTTGCGTGGCGATCCCCAGCGCCACCTGATCCGAGATCCCCTTGTCGTAAAGCACCTTAAGAAAAAACACAGCTGCACCACCATACGAAAGCTGACACATCATCCACACGGGGGCAACCGTCTGCACACGATCCAGCGACGGAGATCGGCATGCATCTTTACAGAAATGGGTCGGGCCGTCCGCCGAGAGCTCCACTAACGAGTCCAGAACCTCTGTCCATTTGGCCGCGCAATACCGGGAATTGTTGCGCCTGCTACGAGAGATCTTCCTTCGCGGATAAAGTAAGCCAGGATTGCTGGAAGAGGCACAAGGCAGACCCCACCTTCGATCACGAGACAACTCCGTGGATCCTGCTGCCCACTCAATACCTTGCCGAAGAATACGAAGGATATGCACGACCTGGTTGCAAGACAGGTCGTGCTTGTGGATGCTGCAAGCGCAAATCGACCTTGTCCGTGTTCGCTGTGACTTTAAAAACTCTTGCCCTGGCCCCCCAAAAAAAACTTTCTCCCAGACCTCGCCGCAACGTCAGAAAAAGGCAGTACCGTCGCCATCCCACCCATGCTTCGCGAAGACCGACATGGCACTGCAAAACGCCTTGGAATACGGCGCGGCACGCTGAAAAAAAACGTTGATTTGATCCATGGTTGGTGCACTTCCTGGACCGCCATGGAGGTACGACCCACTTCGCACTGTTTGGGGACATCTTTTTTACGTCACTGCCCAACGCCATTTAAGCAGAGCCCTCGCAATCCACTGATCAAAAGACACCCTCGATGACCACGACCCAAGCAGCGTAGTGTTCTGTACTTGGCTGAAGCGGTCGAAACACCAGTCCGTCTGGGCGTCAAGGGAAATGATGAACTCGACATGCCAAAATATATGTTACTTGGATAAATGACTGTCCGCCAGGCCCGAATCATTCCAGTGGACCACTGTCGGTTCTCTGCCGGCATTGCAAGCCAGAAAGCGGGGGCGCCCAGCTTCCGAAAGCTGACCCTTGCTGCGATCGAACAAATCATTATCGTCGCCTAGCTCAGGAGGAGAAAGTGGAGGAGGAGGAAGTGGAGGAGATGGAGGAGGAGGAGGAGGACGACGACGACGAGCAGGAGGGGAAGGAAAGAGGAGAGAGGGAAGGAGTGAGGGACGAAGGGGGAGGGACAGAAAGAGGAGGAGGGAGGAAAACGAGAAGGAACAGGAAGGAGGAAAAATAATGAGCGAGGTGTATACGGAGGAGTAAGGACAAGTAGAAGGAAAAGGGAGGAGGCAGGAAGAAAGAGAATGGGGGAAGAAACGGGAATGACCCCAGCGATACATCATGTGTGAATCTAAGGGAAGGAGAGAGAAGGGGATTACGAGGACGAGGAGAAGCAGGAAGACGAGGAAAGAAAGGAGGAAAAAAGGAAGAGGAAAGGGAGGAGGAGGAAAGGGAGGAGGAGGAGGAAAACAACGGGGAAGTGGAGGAAGAAGAGTAGAAGGGGGAGGAGGGGGAGAGGAGGAAGCAAGCAAGGTGCGCTCGCGTCATATCTGACGTGCTACCCCTCCCTCCCATCCCTTACCATGGAGTAGATCTCCTCCCCATCCCCACGATCGGATTGCGAGCAGGGCAATGATCCCAGGAGGGTTCGCGATGCATGGTAGGAGCACGGCATACCAGGGCGTAGAAGCGCACTGCAGAGCGTAGCATGTGATAGCATCGCGTGGCATTGCGTAGTGAAGCATTGCATCACAAAGCATTGCAACGCAAAACATGGCATCGCAGAGCGGCACCAAACTCAACACCGCAAGGCATGTCATGGCATGGCACTGGGTTCCTTGGAGGATAAGTTGATCGTCTTCGAGAGGTCTGAGCCGGTCTGAAGTCGCGGCTCCATGCTCAGCTTCATGGGCACCCCGGAAAGCTCCCCACGAGGCGGTGCTGATGGAAAGAACCCGCTGGCCCTGCTTTGAACATCGCCTTCTCAAAGCAGAAACGGGCTCCCGCCTGATACTTCCTCAAAACGACGACGCCCCAAAGTGGGGGGGGCCTTCTGCGGCCCCAAAAACCAACGAATCGGCACCCCATGCGTAATCACTTCCAACGTTTTTCTGGGGGGTCATTTTTTACATGTGGGCCTCTTCGAAAGGACAGGAAATGCCCGCTCTGCAGCGATAGCACGATTTGGAACGACCGGAGGCGCACACTTGGGGCCAGCGCTGCAGCGGGAGCAACATTTTGAAGGACCGAAGAGACTCGGATTGTCAAAAACACATGTGAAAACCAAACTCCTAGCAGCGCTGTTTAAAAAATACGCGGAGGGGGGCCGAACATCTTCCGGACAGACTCGGGGGAGAGAGGAGAGTTGTAGTCATAATGTGTAGTTGTAGAGGAGGGGGAGAAAGGGTGGGCGAGGGAATCCTCCACATGAAGCTCATCAACCTCGTCCAGCATATCCTCCTCGCCGCGAATCCTCCTCCTCCTTATCCTCCTCCTCCGCCTCCTCCTCCTCCTCCTCCTCCTCCTCCAGTTCCTTCTTCTCCTGGCGGTGGAATTTGCACCGATTTTGCAAAGGACGCCGAAGAGCTTCAGAAGACCGACGTCCCCTGTGCAAAGCTGGTGGCAACCTGGACAATATGTCCTTACTGGAGGGGGGGCTACGTGTGCAATCTCACATGCGCTCGTCACTGCAAAGATTCAGCGAGTCGGCCTCAAAAGCCTGGCGGTGCCCTCTATAGTCGCCATGGAAAAGGATCCAAACCTCGCTCGAACCGAAATGTCACCACGCAGTTCCAATTCCACTTCCGCCTCTGCCTCCATTTGCAACTCCTCATCTGTCGCTCCTCTTCCAAAACCCTCTTCCTCCAGGAAGGGGTACCCTCCCCCTTCCCTCCCTGAGGTTGTTTGAAAAGGGTTCGCGAGCGGTTAGAGCGTACAATATGGCCCAAAATGGCTCCAAGTGGGCCTTCGGTGCTCCAAGATGGCCTCCAAGTTGGTTCAAGATAGCCGACGATGGTTCAAGCTAGCTTCCGACATACCTCCGAGAGGCCCGACGAGGGGCCCAAGAGGCCCCCCAGACGGCCTCAAGAGCGCCCAAGAGCGGCCCAAGAGCGCTCCAAGAGGGTCCCAAGAGGCGATTTTGATGGTGAACACGCTGTGGTGGGCGAGCACGTCCTGCTGAGCCCAGGCACGGGGTGCAAGGACGATGCCAATAGACATTTGCTTGTGGAGACGCTCACACATCTCAACATGTGCCTGGCCAACACTTTTTTCGAGACCTCGATTGACGGCCTGGCAACATGCAACGACGTTGGCACGGAAGCAGGCGCCCCGGTCAGCGGTCACACTCACTCGCAGATCGATTTCTTCTGTTGTGGGCAGGGCTGGCTGCAGAACGTCAGAAGTGCGACTGTTTGCCCAGAGGCGCCACTATCATCGCATCACTTCTTGCTGCAAGCCTCCGCGCGCATGGAGGTCGACAAGCGCTGCGTGGAAGAACTGGCATGTCGCCGTGACCACGGCGCCCTGGCCGACAAGAATACCAGGCAGATCTTTGCAAGATGTCTGGGCGAGGTTTGGGACAGCTACGAAGAGGCCTCCCCGAACGACTCTGACGTGAACCTGGCATGGTGCCGAATGGTTCATGGCTTCGTGCATGCGGAGACGACTGTCTTGCCGCAGGAGTCGATTCGCCCCCGCAAACCATTTATCAGCAGCAGCACGTTGGAACTCGTGCGGTTGCGATATGGGGCCCCGCGGGACGCGGATGCCCCGCGAGAGCGTGACATAGCGAAACGAATCCGAGCTTCCGTGGCCGGACACAAGGCGAATTGGCTCGAGGATGTAACCAGAGAAGGAGGTTGGGCACAGATCCGCAGACTGCGCAAGGGCCGCCAGCATGCCCAGGGAAGACCTCGCACGAACGAGGGCGATCTGGTGGACAGCGACCGCAGGGCAGATACACTTGCGCAGCACTTAGAGACAGTGCAGTGGGCCGTGCGGCCTACGACAGTGCTGCCGGAAGACCCTGCGAATCAAGCTGGTTTGCCGTTCAACCTGGACATCATCACTGACGAGGAGGTTCAGCGAGCCGCCCGCAGACTGAAAAACAAACGATCGGGCGGCTTGGACGGCTTGCCACCCGAATTCTGGAAAGCGTCTGCTGAGGATGGACAGCCAGCCCTTGCATGGGTCACACGTTTCTGTAACGTGGTCTGGTCGCAGACAGCGGTGCCAGACGCATGGCACAAATCGCGGGTTCGCATGATCTACAAAAAGGGCGACCCTGCAGTTTGCGACAGTTACCGGCCGATCAGCTTGCTGCCGATAGGTTACAAGGTCTTCGCGATGATCATGTTGCAGAGGCTGAAGGACGCGGGTGCAGAGGACAAGATTTGGCCCACCCAATTCGGCTTCCAGTCAAAGCGCGGTACCTCGGACGCGATCTTCGTGGCCAGGAGGGTGCTCGAGGACGCGTGGGCCACGAAGGAGGGGGCCGTCCACCTACTGGCGCTTGATTGGGCGAAGGCTTTCGATTCCGTGTCACCCGCAGCAATGGCGACGTCGCTTCGGCGGTTCGGGTGCCCTGCCAAGCTCGTAGACATGGTGAAGGCGATCTACGAGGACAGAAAATTCGTCGTGTCTGACTTCGGCTCAGCATCCGGAGAGCGGCGGCAAAGGTTCGGTATATGCCAGGGGTACCCGCTGTTTCCATTCCTGTTCACCATCGTCATGACGGCGCTGGAGGATGCGCACGCTCGGCTACGCAGGCGACTGCCGGACATTCCCGACGCGCATTTTGCGCGAGACCTGGTGCACGCCGATGACACGCTCTTGATGGACGCGAACCCTGTCGTCGTGCAGGAGCTCATGTCCTGCGTGGAGGAGTGCGGGAAGCAGTGCGGCCTGAGCTTGAACTGGAACAAAGTGGAAATGATGAGAGTCCGCTCAGACGCACATGTCGTGAACAGCGTTGGAGACACGGTGAAAGAAAAGGAGGCCTTGCTGTATCTCGGGGCCCACATCTCGTCAGACGGCCGAAGTGGCTCTGAGTTGAATCGGAGATTAGGCGCGGCAAAGCAGGATTTCAATGTGTTGCATGCAATCTGGTCTCACGCAACATTGTCTCGGGAACGAAAAGTGAAGATGTTTAACGCATGCATCGTTTCAAAATTAGGCTACTGCCTTTTCGCCACTTGCCTGAACAAATCAGAGCGGAAGAGGCTGGACGGATTTCAAACCAGGTGTTTAAGACGGATTTACAGAGTGCAACCTTCGTATATAAGTCGCGTGTCCAACAACGCCGTACTGAGCATGTCCGGCGAAAGGCCGCTGAGCGAAGCCATTGCTAAGCGACAAATGGTTTTCCTAGGGCAGCTCGCGAGGCGACCCTGCAAAGACCCTGTGCGATGCTCCGTCCTACAACCCGGCGGCATTGAACCGCGATTGCCGACAGGGCCTCGCAAACGAGGGCGCCCCCGACAGATGTGGGGCAACATGGTTCTGAATAACTGTTTGAGAATAGCTGGCACCCGCGGCCGCTTAGCTGATTTCTTCGGGCCGGAGGCCGGTGCAGCAGCGGCGTGGGAGTCGGTGGTGAAAGCATGGCGCGACGGACCAGTCGCTTGTCCATTTTGCGTGCTTCCTGCTTGTGCACCGTCTGGTGCTAGCTCTCCCCCTCCCCCTCCTCCTCCTCCTCCTCCTCCTCCTTCTCTGAGTCACCTCAGTGTGACCCGCGCCACGCCTATTTGACGTTTCACTTTGCTCACGCACCGGCCGGTGCAAGGCTTACTTGACCTGACTTGATTCGCGCTCCCGAGGCCAGAATCCCGTGCAGATTACCCCAGACTCGCGCTCCCCAGGCCACAGTCCCGCACGAAATGCCCCAGGCTCGCACTGCCGAAGTACGCCTGGCTCGCGCTGCCGACGCGACCCTGGTAAGTTACGTCGCGCTCGTTCCGCGAGGCCAGGTTCCCTTGCAAGTTACGACATGCTCGCGCTCCCCAAGCCACAGTCCCTCACCCACCCACCCTGACGGCGTGTGTGAGACGATTCGCCGTCCAAGTCGCCGTCGCCACTCTCCCCCTTTCCCTGGGCCATCCTCATCAAGCAACCCAGCCCTCTGAAAACCGAAAAACGTCGTCTTCGACTCAAGGGAAGCCTCTTCCTTTTGCTCCCTTCTCCGCGCCGAGGGGGGGGGTCCCGGAGGGGCGCCACCCCCTCCTCGGGGGCGCCTCGGGGGGCGTGATCCTCCCCCTCCCCCCGTCTCCGACCAAGACGGCCCAAGAGAGCCCCCCAGAGTCACAAAAGGAGGAACACCAACCGAGGACGAAGGGAAGGCCCCGGATCCCCTCTCCGCCAGGAAGGGGCGGTCCCAGGAGGGGATCGCCGAGGGCGGTCCTAGGAAGGGTCCCCGGGGGGGGATCCCGAGGCCAGCAGGGCACGCAAGGGCCCCCACGAGGGCTCGCAAGCGTCGCCGTCATCGCCGTCGTCGTTTTCGTCGTCTCCATTCAGGGTCGGCGGCACTGGCCGTAAGGCCTTCGCATCAAACTACGATAGGCATGTGCTTCTGAAGCCAATCCCGAGTAAGGTATAACGGGCTCGCGCTCCCCAAACCACAATCACTTTGAAAATGACTCGCGCCCCCAAGCGCATACCCATGCAAATTGCACCACATCCGCACTTCCGAGGCCACAATCCCTTGCCACTTACAACAAGATTGCGCCCCCGAAGCCGCAGTACTTTGTAAATCACTACACTCCAGCGCTCCCGAGGCCACCATCCTTAGTAAATTTCACAATTCTGGAGCTCCCCCAGCCAGTCCCTTATAAATGACCCGAAGTTCGCGCTCCCGAGGGCACAAGCTTTTCCGTAGATTAAACCAGGCTCGCGCTTCCAAGCCACAAGCCCTAACAAATTCAACCACAACCGGCCTCACAAAACCAGAATACGTTGTAACTTACGTCGCGCTCTCGCCCCCGAGGGCACAATCCCTGACAAGTGACGGCGGAACTGCATTCCCCGAACAACAATCCCCAGAACTACATCACATTCGCACTCCCAAGGCCACAATCCTTTAAAACTACAAGAAGCTTGGGCCGACGAATCTACACTCCCTCGCAAATCAATACGCATGGGCGTTCCCGAGGCAACAATCCTTTGTGGATTACACCATGCTCGCGCTCCCCAAGCCACCATCCCTTGTAAAGCGCACCAGCTTCACGCTTCCGATTCAACAATTCTTTACAAATTGCAGCAAACTCCCGCTCCCCAGGACACAATCCCTTGCAAATTACATCACAGACTCGCTCCCGAGGCTACAATCATTTCTGAACATTACGACGGATCTCCCATCCCCGAGCAGCAATCCCCGAAATTTCGACACATTCGCAATCCCAAGGCCACAATCCCTGGTACATTACAACAAGTCTGCGCCCCTGGGGACACACTCATTCGCAAGACTACGGATTGGCGCTGCCGAGGCCACGATTTCTTATAAATTAGGCCCTGCTCGCGCTCACCACGCTGCAATATTTTGTAAACTACATCCAGCTCGTGCTCCCGAGGCAACAACCCCCAATACATGACCCCAGATTTGCGCTTTCGGCACCGATTCCAACAAAATCACACCAGACTTGCGCTCCCCAAGCCACAATCAATTGTAAATTACATCACGTTCGCGCTGCAGAAGCCATCAACCCACCTTAAGGAAGCTGCCGAAATTGCCACCCTTCTCAAAAGCAGAACAACTCTCATTTTCTGTGTTGGGATATGTGTTCAGGGGCCGCTTTACGGCCCCCCAG